AAAAAAAAAAAAGAATGGTCTGAAGGAAAGTTGCATTGTTACCCGTGCCCCAGAGCCTCTACCTTTCCTCCCTGCGAACACTGAACCCGACACACTGGCTCCCTGCGCGGTCTTGCAAAGTAGGAGCCAGTTTAGTGCTTCTATTTACTCCGGTAGTTTCCTGAGCCATAGCTCTGCCTTCAGAACCAGACAAGGGCACCTGAGGACAGCCACCCTCCCTCACTGGATAGTCGCTGAGGGCACCAGCTCTGGGGCTTTCACGACGGGTCCAGCCTTGTCTCCGGTACCTATTAGCTGTGGGACCTTGGCAAGCCACTGACCTGTGAGACTCTCAGGTTTCTCATTTCCAAATGAGGGTAATGAATGCCCCAATCTATCTTGGTAGAATGAAAATGTACACAGTATTAGACCAGGCCATTCGAAATTGACAGTATTTGAATAATAGCAATTGCAGGGGGTTGAACCCAGTGTTTACATAGGATCATTGGGTAATGAGACTGTCATTGGGATTACCCGTCGGAGTGGAGTGACTGCAGGCACTCACTAAGTCAGTACTGATCACTTCAGGTTGATAATTGACATGTAAGCTTATGAAATGGAGATTCTACCATTGCAAATTCTCATCATTCATTTGACACCCAGTTACCCTTAGGTGACAGACACTATAATGGGCAGTAAGAATGCAAATGGAATGCAAAAACAGAAACCCTTCAAAGTTTATACTTTAGTGAGGGACAGTGGGTCAGTCAAAACGTGCAATAAAGCGTGAGAGGATGAGGCAGGGGACTGCGTGAAGGTCTTAGTAAAGGGGGCTGCTGGGAGGACAGCAAGGCAGTGGGCACAAAGGAGAGAGAGGCCACTTTCGCTAACGGTGATTAGATGCCTCCATGGGCCAGGCACTGTGCTGAGCTTTTTATGTAATTGCGTTAGTTCTTCAAATAACCCCATAAGAAAGGTATTATATTATCACCCCTATTTTACTAATGAGAATGAGGGATAGAAAAGTAAGGAACTTGCTCAAGGCCATACAGTTAGGAAGCAGTAGAGCTGGAATTCACACCCAGGAAATCAAACTGCAGAGCCTGTGGGATGAACCATCACGGCATCACGGTGCAGTAGAATAAATCAAACACATGCCATGAGATGTTTTGAGTCCTTGCCTCCTTCCTTTCTTTCCTCTCGCAACCCCAGAAGCTCAGGGATGCTGTTTCTTAACCAGTAGTGTTGTTTTTGCTTTTAGGGCATTGGGCTGGCTGGATGCAGTAAAGTGACAAAGGTCTTGTATCCAATACATCCATTCTTTGGAGCCCCATTAACAGCAGACCCATGAATGAATGAAGTGAATGAGAGTAAAATGTACTTAAGACCAAATCTTCCTGGGGCGCCTGGGTGGCTCAGTCGGTGAAGCGTCTGCCTTCAGCTCGGGTCATAATCCCGGGGTCCTGGGTCAAGCCCCGTGTCAGGCTCCCTGCTCCATGGGGAGTCTGCTTCTCCCTCTGCCTGCCACTCCCCCTGCTTGTGTGCTTGCTCTCTCTCTCTCTGACAAATAAATAAAATCTTAAGGAAAAAAAAAGACCAAATCTTCCTTTTGAGGAATAGCCACATTACAGATGTGTAGAATCCCCTCAGGAAACTCCTGAAACCTGGAGTTGGAAGCCCTTCTGAGTCCCCTGAGCAAACTGCTGGGGGTGAGGGGCAATTTCATGGCCAAAGGATGGAGGAAATACTTAATTTTCGTTTTTCTGATTTTATCTGCACATCCCACACAGAAAGGATGAAGAGGGAAAGTTAAACGATCTGTTCAACCATGAAGCTCTTATCAAGTCTCAGGCACTGAGCTTGGTGATATAGATAAAAAGATCTGGTCCTTCCTCCCAAGGGGGCACACAATCTAAGGTGAGCGTGCCCCCAGATAAGCAATTACAGGACCATGGAGTAAGTGCTAGAGTGCAATTAGGCACAAGGGACCAAAGGTGAGGGAACATCTGGAGGAGATGGAGAGGAGCGGGGACAGCCGGGAAAGGACCATGTGATGGACACCAACAGATGACATGACTGTAAAAAAGAGGCAGTGGTTGATGGGGTCACAAGACAGCACAGGGCAAGTGAAACCAGACTTGGCAAGTGTTCTCTGGATTTGGAGGCGTTGGCCACAAGACTCCCAGTTGAACCGAAGGGGCAGAGCCTGAGCTCGGTTGGCTGGGAGGGAAGTGGAGGAGGGAGCTTGGTGGCGAGGACTGATGGAGGGTCGATGGTGGGGTAGGTGGATCCTCAGGGAGGACTGGGACACTCAGGGTGACCAAACCACCCGGTTTGTTAGGGGTTGTTTGGGTGTCAGCATGGAAAGTCCCGCATCCTGGGAAACCTCTACTTGTGGGGAAGCCCACTAAAAAAATGTCCTACAAGATCGACAGGGGTATCGGCAAATACCATGTTACTCAGTGCAGATTAGGGTCAGGAAACCAGGGTCTGAATTTTGTAAGTCCGGTCCTTAACGTTCTCACCCGTAAAACAAAGAGGAGATCAACTAGATACTTGTGGCCACATGACATTCATTCGTTCATTCATTTAAAAGACACTTGCTGAGCACTCAATACCCGTGAGGTACCGTGTAACTCAATACATTTGTTTAATAAGGTCACTTCGTAGGATTTCATTCCACTGGAGCCTAAGGCCATTGGAACTTGCTTTTTCTCATCAGACTCACCTCGAATTATCATCTTGAATTTTCTAGTGTGACTGATAATTACAAGACATTGTGCTTATTTTTACTGGGGAAAACATTCTGAAGAAAAGTTCCCGCATCTCTCTCCCCCATAATTATTCTGCTGCGATTCTCAGAACACAAGCTGGTTGACAGGTGAACCCTGTGTCACCTATGGAAATTCCTGTGCCTTCTGTCTTCCACCTCTGTGCAAGTGAGGCCAGTGGAAGACCCTTCCAGGGAAGGCCAAGTTTCCTGACTGTGCCATACTGGTCCTCTGGCATTACTGGGCACCACCCAAATATGCTGGGTCCACCCAGTCCAGAAATCCCTCCCTCATGATTCCTGCCCATCTGTCTGAGCTCCGAGGTATTGATTACCTCAGGCAACAACACCCACTCTTGCATTGTGCAGATGCACCAAACAATGAGCAAAAGATTGAAGTCTGAATTATGCCTTAAGTGTCTTTTGGTAAGTGGTGCCAATAAAATGACAATAGCTGTTCTAAACAGAATGTTACATTTCCCACAGCTGAGACGAGCATGTACCAAAGGCTGAATCACTTCCAAAGGAGGAAATGAAGTCTGTTTTCTGCCTTTGGAAGGACTGATGATGTCTTGGGAGGCAGGATGACTAGAAATTATACAAACTCCATGACCCTGTTTCTCAGGATGCGTTACAGTCCTCCCAGAGAGCCATGTGCCTCCACATCTCAGTATGATTATAATCCTTAGTGTCTTAATGATATGGGTGGAAATATGCATGCCTTGGTGAGTTAAGATTCCTGATGCAGTGTTCACATATTCTTCCCTTAAGCACTCAGTTGCTGGGTTGA